AGTGGGTGGGTGGGCGGGTGGGTGGGAGCAGTCATCTTGCCTAGGATGCCGGCAATCTCAGAAACCTCTGGGAATTTGCTTTTCATGTAGCAAACAACCTAGTAAGGAAAACTAGCTGCGGAGCCAGCCCTGGCTGGAGAGAGGAACTTATTAAACTCTCCACAGCATTCTGCGAAAACCTGCTATTTCTCCCGGGCCCACCTGGCTGCTGCTGAGGCTCAGACAGATAAGAACACATGGCAAATGACTTGCGGGGGATGGATGTGGCTAGAACTTTTCTGACACTTCTCAACTGCCATGGGCCATTGATTTTTTCATAGTGCTCCCTCCCCATGTAACCCACCCCCTCCTTCCAGGAAGAGGCAGGGGAACAGAAGTGTGGACCCCCTCTGTGTATAATCTGCCCTCCTTCCCCCTCCTTCATTGGCAGTAGCACCAGAAGCAGGGAAGGAGCTCCTTGCCAACAGGAGGCGGCCAACTTGGGCTTTTCAGGGCTTTGAAGGAAGGCCTGCCTCAGCCCAGAAGGTTGTCCTGGGGTGGGGAAATGCTAGACTAAGAATCAGGGTGGTGGCTTTGAGATCCCAGCCCTGCCATGCAGGCGCCGGTTCTGAAGCTGACTCGACTGCCCTGTCTGTAAAACGGGGATGGCAGTATAGACGTTCTGTAGTCATTAGGGAGATTAAGGGAAAATGGTAGGCTGTGTTCCCAGTGTACTTGATGGGAAGAAGTGCCCTTGGAAAAGGAAACAAAAATCAAGAGGCCCTGGCCCTGGGGGAAGGTGATGTGGTCCGAGAGGGTGGGCAGCCAGGTAGGACGGACCAAGGAGAGGCAAACGCCCCGTCCTCTCCCTCCGCTGAAGGTGGCCACCCCGCCATGGGCAAAGCCATGGGCACAGCTGGTGGGGGGGAGGAGGGGGTCAGCCCACCGCCCTTTCGTCTCCAGCTTCTTAGTCTGAAAGGGACCGTTGGAGCAAACGCTGGTTATGACCTGCCCTCACCCTGCGTGCGAGCAGGGAGCATGGCCACTCTCCTGGCGTCCTGCAGCTGGCCCCACGCCCGCAGTGGCGTGTTTAGCCCCCGAAGCTCTGCGCCGAGGCCTTGGCAGTCTGGTTCGCGTAGTTGATGGCGGTCTGTTTTCCCAGAAGACTAAACCTCCTTGGAGGTGGAGACGCTGCTGAAACCCAGTGCCCGGAGGGTGTCATGGGCACCGTGGGCAACCTTGCGTGAGCAAGAACAGAGCGTGTGGTCTACTCACGGGTTCACATCCAAACCCGCCTGGAACTGCGCCTCAGAGTGTAGAAGTCCCAGCAGCGCCGAGGTCCAAGCTGAGGAGGAAGGGGGGGGGGGCCGGAGTGCGTTTGAGGTGGGGGGACCAGCCTCTGCCCGCCTGCCCCTCTGCAGAGCAACCGCAGGCCTCTGCGGAATTTTAGGGAGAGGAGTGATGCTATGGGGCTAGTGTTTGAAAAGGACCCATGGGTTACTATCTCTAGGGGGATTTTGAGGGTTTGAAAACTTTTTTATTTATTTATTTAATAGAAAGGGGGAAAACCCTTCAGTACAAGGGAAGTGGTGACTTTAAGACGGATTCTACTAAAGCCTCACTGCCAAGGACTCTGGAGAAGGGAGAAGAGGAGTGTTTTCAGAAACAGTGCCCTACGGGCAAGCCTCTCTGTAAGCAGTGCGAGTGTCTTAAAAGGTGGCCGCGTGTCACATTATTGTATATTGAATCCAGCTTCAAGCGCTCAGCGGAAACTTGCTCTGTAAAATAATCACGTGCTGAACGTTTGTAGAGGGTCGTTTGTATTCAAATCGCCACCCTCTACGTTATCTGACTTGTAAATGATGAGATTTATAACTACAACATAAAAACCTTGAGCGTTTTCAGGGATCTCAGAGATCTTGGATTGAATCCCTGCTGACAAAGATGGGGGAACCGAGGTCTTTTACTTTTTCTTTTCTTTTCTCTTCTTTTTTTTTTTTGAGAGTTTTTTCCGCTATAGGGCGTGCGCGCTCGCCAGCCAGCCAGCCAGAGACAGAGAGACAGCCAGAAATCACCTCCCAGGGGGGATGGCCACGCCACAATCCCTTCTCTTCCATTCTCCTCTCGGGATCTTGGGCACGCATGCACATGCGCCCTGCGTGAGTTTTAAGCCACTGGGTCCGGGACGCGAACCGCGGTCGACTATGTGGGAGTCCAGCAACATAGCCATTATGCTAACTGCTGGTCCTGGGGGAAACCGAGGTCTTGAGAGGTCACGCAGGTGGTTAGCGGCTGAGCCACCATCTTACAGAGTGACACAATGGCAGCTACTTGTTTAAAATGACAGGGCCATCACCCAGGAAATTCAGTCCCTATGTTCCGCTTTTAAATGTATCAAATGATCAAGATTACTTGGCATTGTGCTATAACAACACGGTTGAAGAAAGGGTGCGTGGTCTTTCATTTTTGACTTGGTAGAGTTGGGATGGTAAATGAATGAGAGAAACCATCTCCGTGCTAGTCACTCTGCAGCTGTATTCAGGGTGTCAGTTCAAGGCCCATAGGGTGGCGGGGGCTGGGGGGGGTGGTCTAAGGAAAATTACAACGGTCATTCTGAAAACACAGTAACTTTTTTCTTTTTCTATGTCATTTAAAGCCCAGACTTGAATTCTTTAATTCAATTAAAACATCCACTAAGGTCAGGTGAAAATTTAACCGTGTAATGCAGGACAGACTGCCTTCTTGGGAGAAGAAAGCGCTTCCTGGCTCCAACAATTAGATTTGAGGAGGGGACTAGGGAGATGAGGGTGGGTTGCTACCGTGAAATCTGGAGAGGCCTGGAGGAGAGGCCAGGCGAGGAGGCCCTACTGTGCTCAGAGCTTCCATCCTCCTCCTCTGGGAAGCCTGGGGCAGGACATGAATAGGATGTGGGAAGCCAAGGGTTTCCACCATAGGGAGGCCCTTAGACAGGGTTTGGTCTGTGGGTTATGGGGGGTCCTGGAGAGTAGAGCCTGCAGGGGATGGAAGCAGAGCTGGAAGGAGCCCAGAGAAGCTGGAAGGTTGGGCTACGGTAGGCTCAGTGCCCAGTGCCAGCGGCGGATGAGCAGCTGAGCAGGGCTGGGACTGGCTGTGTGCTTGGCCGGTCTGGTGCCTATTTGACCTTCCTACGCTGCACTTTTCTCCTCTGTAAAACGAGGATAGTAGTAATATCTATCACATAGAATTGTTGAGAGAACTCTAAGGTGATGTATCTAAAAGCCTTCGTGTGGGCGTGCTACATGGGAGAGGTTTATCAGCACGGCAGCAGTAGCATCTTGGTTGCAGCAGGACTTGAACTCTGGATGAGTGGGTCCTGGGACCCGAGAAGCAAAGCTCTCAGGCTGAAATGTGGTTAGGTGAGGTCAGTATTCACTCTGGGAGGCAGGCGCTTCTGGGTAGGGTGGCAGGCTCTGGCCTGGCCATGTGTCTATCCAGAGGGGGACCAACCATTGGCATGGAGGTTAAGGCACTGGGTCCCCCATGGCTGACTGCCCAGTTTGAGTCCTGGACCAGTGGCAAAGATGAAAAAACAACAAACCACTCCAGGCACTTGTGTGTGCATGCCCAAAATTCCCAGAGGAGAATGGAGAAGAAAGGATTGCAGCATGGCCATCCCACCTGGGGGTGGGGAGGGTGCTTTCTCTTTCCTATCTCTACACCTCTCTGGCAAACACCAGCACCCCATAGCAAAACAAAAGCCTAGCCAGGTGAAGGAACAAGGCCCCTCCTGAGAAAGAAAGAGTTTATCAAAGCTGGTGAAAATAGGAACACCCATGCTTGGCCCAAGGACGAGGTCGGCGCTGGTGGAGAAGAAGGTTGTGAAGGTGGAGATTTTGCTTGGCCCACTGCTCTTGAACCAGTGCAAGTCAAAGCGGGGCAAGAGGAATCCACTTTGGAGCTGTCCGTTGAGTTCGGTGGGCACCGTTGCATTGCATGACAGTGCAGGAGCTGCTGTGGTGACAGACATGGCATCCCCACCAGGTTGGAGATGTCAACAAAGTCACCAGAGCTCTCACCCAGAGCA